GTGTTTAACATTACAAATAATGGTACAAACAGTTGTCAAAAGCATCCAGCTGTGATGCGCCAGAAAGGACATGATTTCATTCCTGAACCAATCCTGCCAAAATGTATAATCTATACTTAAAGCATGAGGAAATGATCAAATTCTCCATCTGCTGGCTTACTGCCAAAATGGCCACAATGATGAGAGCTGGGCCAGGCCAAAGTCAGGAATCTAGAATTCCATCGAGGTCTCCCACATGGCTGCAGGGGCCCGAGGACTTGGGCCATCTTCCACTGATTTCCCAGGCGCATTTGCAGGGAGCTGGATCACAAGTAGAGCAGCCAGGACTTGAACCTATGGAATTGTGGCATCACAGGCAGTGCCCTAAGCTGTTGTGCCACAACACTGGTCCTTCAATACTGTTCTTTATGCCAGTGCTTTTCCTATGTATGATCACATATTACATTTGATTGCTCTCTGTTTTCACTCTATTTTAATCTGCCAAGTTCTCCGTTGCTACAGGTATTTTATCTGACATCTTCCTATCATGGAAGGCCATCGACTGTTTGCACTGCTGGATCAAAAACTGAAGTTATCTTTTAATCCCAAGACAACAGCTGTCTGTTTGCAGTTATCTGAACCTTCTTGGTTTGTTTGTTGAAAGTGAGGTTTGGAGCTAGACTATGTTGAAAGTGAAGTTAGGAAAGATGGAAAATGCACTGATCTGAGGACGTCTTTGAAAATTTAGGTGACTGGGAGTATCCTGTTGCCATTCAATGCTCCTAGGCAGAGACAAGACCTCTGATAGAAATGGCAGGCTGGTCCCGCTGGAGGCTGACCCAAAGTGAGGTTCACATGCTTGGCACAGAGCTACCCACTTTCAAATCTACAGCAACCTTGACAACAATGATTTAAAGATGGGAACAACTTGTGAATAGTCCAGGCTCCACAAGATCTTGTGGAGTTTTCAGAGAACATGTAGGGTCGTAGAAACCTTTCTACGCAAAGATTGTTTTATTTGATTTGGAAAAAAAAATAGTTACGGGGTAGGCTTTCAGCTCAGCAGTTGAGATTCTTCATTCCATGTCTGAGTACCTGGATTTGAGTCCCTGCCTTGCTTCGGATCCAATTTCTTGTTGATGTACACCCTGGGAGGCAGTGGGTGATGGCTCAAGTGCTTTGATTCCTGTCACCCACATGGGAGAACCAGATGGAATTACAATCTCCTGGCCTCAGCCTGGTCCAGTTTTGGCTGTTGTGAGCATTTGGGAATAACCAATAGATAGAAGAGCTGTCTCTCACACATACTCTCCCTCTGTTGCACTGCCTTTCAAATAAATAAAAACACATTTTTAAAGAAAAGAGGACACAGTTAAGAAGTAACAAAAATTGAAAATTGTAATGCTCAAATCTTGTACCTAAGGGCTGTACAATAAAATGATTGATATTTGTACTTTGGTGAAAGATTATAAAACAGATATTTATTTGCACCTATTATTCAAGCCCAATGTCTTCAAGTTATGAAACCTATGACTAAGTGATACTAGAAGCTGTTTAGTAGGCCATTATATGATTAGAAGGATTGCTCTGTTTGCTACTTCAGGTCTACTGATCAGCTGAGATGGCTGTACCCTTGTGATCAGTTGTCTTAGTTAGCTGGCATAGTAACTTCTTCCCTGGTGGGCAGTAAACTTCGGTTTACTGAAGTTTTCAGTGAATTATAGAGACACTTTAAGAGAGTCAAAGCCATAGTATTACCATTTAATTTTTAAAATAATCTAACATTTGTTATTTTTATGTACTTGTAATATTTAAGATAACTTTAGAATCACATAATAAACTTATTAGATGAATAAGAGTATCAATGGGAATGTTAAATTGGACAATTGAACTATTTTAAAAGGATAGAGAATACACTAAATTTATTAATGCCACTTAAAGTGCTTGAATATATTTACTTACTCAAGTGTTTATGTGTGATTAAACATAGTTAAAAGAACTCTTAAAAATTCCTTTTAAAACTTATGAGATTTTTAAAAAAATTTTTTTTAATTTTTTTGACAGGCAGAACTTATGAGACTTTTAAAGAGGGAAATAACATTTTCAAGCTGAACTTAAAAGTTCAATAAAGAAGTAAGATTTTTGGAATTTGTGGCTTGAATACATTTAACTAATTGCAGTAAGCAACCATTTAAATAATTTTTTCTATGTACAAAACTCACTCTTGAGGATACAAAAAGCTCAAATCAACCCTGAGGAAGGGTTCTAGAAGGTTAGTTGTTAGGTGAACACTTTTTCTGTGGAAGAGAAAACTGGGTTTGACAACTTGTGTAAGTCACAGAGTTCTGTCATTATCTGCTTTCTCCTTTGAAACTTATCCCTAAACATGACATTTAAAAAAAAAGATTTATTTTATTTGTTTGAAAGACAGAGTTAGAAAGAGACAGAGACAGAGAGAGAGAGAGAGAGAGAGAGATGTCTTCCATCTACTGGTTCACTTACCAAATGACGGAAACAGCCAGAGCTTAGCTAGTCCAAAGCCAGGAGCCAAGAGCTTCCTCCACATCTCCCATCAGGGTGCCCAGGCCATCTTCTACTGCCCTCCCAGGCCATAGCAGAGAGCTGGATCAAAAGTGGAGCAGCCAGGGCTCGAACTGGTGCCCATATGGGATGCTGGTGCTGCAAGCCGGGGCTTTAACCTGCTGTGCCACAGCACTGGCCCCAACATGACATTATTTTTGAAAATGTCAGTAAGCAGACTTCTTGTCTCCAAACTTGAAAGTTTTCTGCTTTATGCTCATATTTTTTCCACAGAATAAGTTGTCAAACTCTGCCTTCTTTTTTATGAGCATCCTTGTTTTGGCCAGCAGTGATACAGTCCTGTAGGTCATGGGCACAGGTGTTCCTGTTCCTGAGCTGCAGAGCTTTCCTGACACTGTCTTCCAGCCTTGGGGCACTTTCAGCATTTCCTTGTGTTCTTTTCTTCTGTGCCTTCATTTCCTGCTCTCCCTCTCCCAGCTGTGTTGTCTGTTTATCCACTTGACAACTAGCACAAGAGCAGGAGGCTACAACTTTCCTATTACTCCTTGACTTTCCTCATAAATTATTCTTTGAGCAAAGACATGGGGCTTTTCATGAAAAATGCATCTGCAAAGAATAAGACATATGCATTTTTAGTTTTTAGATACTGGTCTAGTTCTGAATTTCCTAAATTCTTTTGGTTCAAAGTGCCATTAGGGTCTTAATAATTTTTTCACAACACCTCCAGACCAAAACAAAACGAAACAAATTCAATTATTAGGTTCAAACATCTTAAGTATTTATATTTTAGCAACCAAATATCTATTTTGTAATGTCAGAATAGAGAGAAAAAGTCATGTCTAGTTTCATTCTTTTAAGATTATTTATTTAAAATATTTATTTATTTATTTTGAAAGTCAGAGTTACAAAGAGAGAGAAAGAAGGACAGACACACACAGAGAGATCTTCCATGTGTTGGTTCCCTCCCCAGATGGTCACAATGGCTGGAGCTGGGCCATGCCTAAACCAGGAGCCAAGAGCTTCTTCCGGGTCTCCCACATGGATGGCAGGGGCCCAAGCACTTGGGCCAGCTTCTGCTGCTTTTCCCAGGCCATTAATATTGAGCTGGATTAGAAGTGGAGCAGCTGCGACACAAACCAGCACCCATGTGGGATGCCAGTGTTGTGGGGGTGGCTTTACCCACCATGCCACAATGCCATCCCCAAAATTTATTTTTTGACACATGATTATGCATGTTTCAATATATGTGTACATTGTATAATGTTTAAAATAAGGTAAGTATACCTATACCCTCAAGCATCATTTCTCTGTGATGAGAGCAAAATCCTTCTAGTTTTTCTGAAATATATAATACTTTTATGTGATTGTTATTTATATAATCACCCTATTATGCAGAACACCAAAAATATTTCTCCTACACACATAACTATATCTTTGTAGCCACTGGCCAAACTTTCCTTATCTCTCCCTGCCCTATCCTCATCCCAGCAACTAGTAGCCTCTATTCTACACTCAATTTCTGTGAGATTAACTTTTCAGACTCTACATATGAGTTAAATATGTTCTCTTTCTGTCGCTGGCTTATTTCACTTAACGTAATGTCCTCTACACCCATCTATCTATATTGCTACAAATTACAGGATTTCATTTCTTTTGTGTGTGTACACATATACCACATTTTTATGTCCTTTCATCAGTTGATGTATACTTAGGTTACCATTATTTCCATTTCTTGGCTATTCAGAATAATTCTGGAAGAAATATGGTAGCACAGATGTTTCTGTGACACAATAATTTTCCTTTTCTTGGATATGTAGCCAGAGAGGGACTATTGGATCATATGATAATTTTACTGTTAAGTTTTTGAGGAGCTTCCTTGCTGTTTTTGGTAATGGCAGTACCGATTTACATTGCCACTAACAATGTGAAAGGGTTCGCTTTCTCTGTATAAACGGCATTTGTTATCTTTTATGTTTTTTATAACGGGGTGAGCTGATATCTCATTATTATTTTGGCTGGAATTTTCCTAGTGATAAATGATGTTGGACCCTTTGGTGTGTGTGTACCAGTCCCCTATTTGTTTGTCTTCTTTTTAGAAATGTCTCCTAAAGTCTATTGCTCAGTTTTAAATCAAATTATCTCTTTTTACTTCTGAGTTATTAGAATAGTTACATATTCTGGCTATTAGCCTCTTGTCCAATGTATAGTTTGCAAATATTTTCTCCCATTCTATAAGCTGTCTCTTCAAGTCCCACCTCTTTTTTAAAAAAATTATTTAATGTATACAAATTTCATGTGTTTTATTTATACAGATTCAGAAGTTCCATCCTTAAATATACAGTATTACTAATGGGATGTGTGTGGCTGTTTGGCACTGTCTCTTTCCTCAACCTCAGGGTCAGACTAGACACTGTCACCCTCATGTCATACTCCATGTTAATTTTTCATGTGGAACTTATTATTATTTTTTTTTATTGCAGCAACCATTGGAAACTCAGCTTTACAGAGAAATGAATGTCACTGAAGGGAATATAGCATGATCCAATGAAACTGTGAAGTACTTCCAGGTAATACATCAAATGGTAACTGACAAATGGCCATTGCTCTGTCCTTGAGGGTTTACACTATCTTGCTAGATCTCCTGAGTTTTCTTGGTACCTGGAACACCTCAAGGTACAGTTTGGGATGTGCAGTGCTAGGTGAAAAGGAACAAAAGACATTTTCCATATAAACAGCCTAACTAGAGTGCAATATGCAGACAAGTGGTCAACTAGATATTCTTTTTTTTTTTTTTTTTAAGATTTCTTTATTTATTTGAAAGGCAGAGTTACAGAGAGGCAGAGACAGAGAGAGAGGTCTTCCATCTGCTGGCTCATTCCCCAAATGGCTGCAACCGCTGGAGCTGAGCCAATCCAAAGCCAGGAGCCAGGAGTTTTTTCCAGGTCTCCCATGTGGATGCAGGGGCCCAAACACTTGGGCCATCTTCCACTGCTTTCCTAGGCCATAGCAGAGAGCTGGATTGGAAGTAGAGCAGCCGGGACTGGAACTGGCAGCCCATATGGGATGCAGGTGCCACAGGCTGAGGCTTAGCCCACTGTGCCACCATGCTGGCACCTCAAATAGATATTCTATAAGGCAGAGAACTATAATCAAGGTGTAGTAAGCAATTATTTTTTCTTTTGTTGAGTAACTGAATTTTTTTCTTACATTTGGGAAATCTATATGATACAGATCTTTCTGGGAGGCAGAGCTATTCTTCCACTGTAGAATCTGAATAGGCTTGAAACCTACCTCCCAACCTCCATTGAAGCTAGGGCCCGAATCCATGACTTAGGTTTGGCCAGTAGATCTGTGAGTCTCTGACTGGGCATCAGGAGTCAGGACGAAAGGGTCAGGAACATTGGTGAAATCTCTCTGTGGGGTATCAGTGTGCAGCCAAGGCAGGGGTGCGTCAGTGTCAATGTCAGCAGCATGAGCAGTCTCAGCAGTGATATGCAGTGGTGTCCTCATCGCAGTGGATAGCTTCCCTTTTATTAACGCCTATTCGGAATATGGTTTCCTCTACTTCCAGAGGATGTGGATAACCTGATTTCCTTCGAATAAATTCCTGTCTCTGTTTAACTCAATCTATATGCTGTTAAAGATGGGACAAATAAAAAGGAATGTTGCCCAAGATCTCCAATACCAGAAGAGAAGCAAGATTATAAAAAGCATATTGTACTGATGTCAGTTATGGAACAAGGATCTGAGAAGGTATTACGGTGTGCTTTTTTAAGCCCTAGATTGGACATAAAACCAGTGGAAATCCAACCTCAAAAACTCTCGAAGCCCTATGCCAAGAGAATTTAGGTAAGGTGGACAGTTCCGAGAGAAAAGAAGTGCTGGGAATTAAGCACAGAATGCAGCAGACCCTATTTTGTGATTCTCAGCGTGATATGTTTGTGGGAAGTAATGAAGCTTGTCAGGTGCATGTCATCAGGGATAACACTCAGAATATGTACAGGCCCCAGAAAAGGTACGACTGTTCACACAAAAGGGAAGATAGCTGGACAACAATGAATGGAAATCAGGTTTGAGATAAATGTCCGTCTGATGAGAAATTAAAATTTAGGTAGCATTATCCCAATAGGGGGAATATGGATGGACACAATTCATTTGGAGTATGGATGCTCTTGATAGGCCCAGAAATCAGTAGCAGACACTTCACAAGGGGAAATGTAGAAGAGTGCGTTAGGAAACTCAATATCTGGCTCAGAAAGCAAAGAGAAAGGAAGGCAGAATTATCTGCACCAACTTAACAAGCAAGTGAAATGTTCAAAACTTAGGTGGGCCTGCAGAAAACAAGAGAGGAACAATGTCAGGAAGTTGGATTGTGAAAGCACGCCTACATGAAGGAAAAGTTGTGGCTGAAAGAATTGTTCTACTGTTTGGAAGTAATAGAAATTCTTCAGGATAACGACTAGATTTAAAGGTGCACCCAGAGAAAGATATTTGTCTTCCCCTGCTTCAGTTGAACATAATGACTGCAGTTTCAGCATATACACCCTCTGTGAAACCTACTGAATCCATGTTTTGGAAATTCACAGGTTGCTTGGTTTCCATCCATGGGGCAATTTGAGGCATGACTCATTTCATGCCTTGATAAGTGAATTCCTGATGTCATGAATGCATACCACTGTTAGGTACACACAGGCTTGTGGCATTTCCATGCTCTAAGGAAAGATATGTGGTGGGAGTATTTGGCTCAAGAGTCTCTCAAATATTAGGTAATATTATAATTTATATTACCCATTCAAAAGTAATTACTGATCAGTGCTCTTAAAGGCACATGGGTATTCTTAATGTGAAATCTCATTATGAGTTCTCAAAACTCAGTACAAAAACAATTGCATAAGTTGTTTTAATTAGCCACCCATTTTGTTGACCTACATGCTTTATGCAAACTGTTCTGTATATGTTCTTTTAAATCAAGTCATTGTATATCAACTTTTTTTTTTTTAAAGATTTATTTATTTGAAAGGCAGAGTTGCAGAGAGAGAGGCAGAGACAGAGAGAGTGAGATCTTCCATTTGCTGGTTCACTCCCCAAATGTCTTCAATGGCTTGGGCTGGGCCAAGCCAGAGCCAGGAGCCAGGAGCTTCATACGGGTCTTTCATGTGAATGCAGGGACCAAAGCACTTGGGTCATCTTTCATTGCTTTCCCAGGCACAGTAGCACAAGGCTTGATTGGTAGTGGGGCAGCTGGGACTGGAACTGGAGCCCATATGAGATACCAGTGTTGCAGGTAGTTGCTTAATCTGCTACCCCACAATACCAGCCCCTGTACATCAACCGTTTTTATCACGGGAAGGAGGTAGGTTCATTCACAATAGTAGGGAAATTCAATTCTTTTACACTGTTGAAATAATTAGTTTGTCAAGATTAAATTACTGTACTCATTTTTCTTTTCTAGAATGATCAATAAGAAACAAAAAGTTTAGGAAAGATTCCCTGGAAGTTAAAGGGAATTATCTGATAGAAGATGTTTACTGATGTCAATTGTCAACCAACATACTGAGTCTTCCTCTGCTACTTGGCATAAACGTTTAAGAGAATCATTCCTTTAGCCAATGGGTTGGGTTATCAAATCCCTTCACATCTGATAACATGCATTTCCAGGACCAAATCCTATCATCTCCATCTACCTGTTCTAAGCAACCATTCTATGGATTTTTTTGTAATTAGCTTTCCACCCCAGGACCTTGGGTGATTCTGTCTTGTTCTTGTTCTTATATCTTTAGCAATATCCTTCTTCTTCTTCTTCTTCCTTTGTGGTCTTTCATTTATGCCTATACAGCATTTGGTTTATAATTCTATTGTAAGGAGTTTGCTCTCTTGCACAACTTCTGTTTCTGGTTTTCTTTTTTATGCTTTTAAATATTTCTTGATTTTTTTTTTTGATTTTGAAGGCAGAGTGATTGGGGGCTGATGTTGTGGCCTACTGCAATGCTGGCATCCCATATGGGCACCAGTTTGAGACGCGGCTGCTTCATTTCTGATTCTACTCCCTACTGATGTGCCTGGGAAAGCAGCAGAAGTTGGTCCAAGTGCTTGGGTTCCTGCACCCATGTGAATCAGAGGATGGAATATTGTTTTCTTTCTCTTTTTGTCTCTCTTTCTCTCTCTGCTTTTCAGATAAATGATAATTAAATTAAAAAGAAAAGAAAGGCAGAGAGAGAGAGAGAGAGAAAATGTGGGCAGTAGTCATCTAGAGTGGCAGCTTAACTGCTGTGCCACAATGCCAGCCCCTCTATTTCTTTTACCTTCACCTATGCCGAGGTTCACAGGGGTGGGGTCTGCTGCTTAGTATCTTTGCTCCTGCCACACTGCAAGGATACTCAACAGGTTCTCAAAGTTTCATCAAATCTCATACGATAGCATATGTCTGATCAGACTCACTGTCTAGAATTGTAAAAGCTGAAACACATGTTTACCTTTACACTTTAATAGCAAATGTGTTAAGAGTCACTTAAATTCACTAATTTGATTTTCATTATAAAAAGTTGCATTTTTCTAGATGATTCTGAGACATTTTTAGACTTAAGTCACTAGTTTGTAATTCAGACCTTTTAGTGTGATCTTGGGCAAGTTATTTAATCTCTGTTGAATGAAGAAAATGCTTCTATATTCAGAGCATGGTTGTATGGACGGTATCAGTCCATTTTGTATTGCTACAATAAAATACCTCAGGCTGCGTCCTTTAAGAGTGAAGAGATTTATTTGGCTCCTGATTCTGGTGACTGGAAGTTCCCAATAGTCTGACACTGGCACCCTGGTGAGGGCCCCTGGCTGTGTTCCAACATTGCAGAAAAAGAGGGCTGGCCTCCCTGCCACTGTTCACTCTCCCAAGAACTGATTTACGCGGCCAAGGACCAGCCTACCCTGGGAGATCAGCATCAATCCATTCGTGAGGGTGGTGCCTCCATGACCTCATTCTCTTTCCCTAGACCCCAGCTCTTACAGGTTTTACCACTTTAGCACCACTGGACTGGGCACCAAAGCTCCCAACACATGAAACTTTAGAGAACAAACCCTATCCAAACCATAGCAAGGATTAAATGAAATTATGTCTGGAATGGATTGTGATTGGTTTGGTAAATAAATGTTTGTTGAGCACCTGCCTAGGCGCTGGGTATCAGGGATATAGAAATGAAATAGACACTGACTTTATCCTGGGGGAAGTTGCAACCTAGAAGCTTTGCCTGACACTTAATATGAACTTAGAGCTGTTCCTTCCCTTGCTCCTTTCCCTCCTCAGCCTATTAGTTATTTATAACCGGATTTTAAAATGGAACATGGGGCCAGCACTGTGGAATAGTTGGCCAAGCTTCTGCCTGTCGGATGGGCCCATCTCTGGTCCTTGCAACTTTTAGGGAGTAAACCAGTGGATGGACGACCTTTCTCTCTGTCTCTCCCCCATCTGTAACTCCACCTCTCAAATAAAAAAAATCTTAAAAAAATAAAATGGGACAGGGAGAATTTTACATTAATTTCTCCTGTGATGAGGAAATAGAGATAATCTTACTTC